AGGGTTGATAGCCCCTGCTTGCCTGATCACCCACAACTGCCCAACCTTGCAGGCCTGGTCCCTCCCAACTCCCCTTTCCTGCTGGCCATCTTGTGGTGGCCATTTGTGTCCACATGGGCATAGAATCTTTGACCACATGGGGGCAGCCATCTTGTGTATTGGAGTGAATGTCAATCTGCATATTACTCTTTTATTAGGATAGAGGCCTGGTGCATGGGTGGGGGCCAGCTAGTTTGCCCTGAAGGATATCCCAGATCAGGGTGGGGGTTCCTCTGGGACATGGGGTGACCTGAGTGAGGGGCCCGTGCTGGTTTGCAGGCCATGGAGGCCCCGGTATCTGGAATTTATTTAACTTTTACAATTGAAACTTTGTAGCCTGGAATGGAGGTCTAGGCTGGACAGGGCTACAGAAGCTTGGCTTCCTCCATGCCTGGAGCAACCCTAGCCTCCTGCTCTTTCAGCTCTGTGGCTGCCACCATTTCTGTTGGAATTTATTTACTTTCTATAATTGAAACTTTGTATGCTTTAGTGGAGGCCTGGGCCAGCCAGGTTGTGTGGAAAGCTTGGCTTCCTCCATTGTCAGGGAAACCCAGCCTCCCTCCTGCTCTCTGTGGCCACAGCCATCTTAGTTAGGGTTAATTTGCATACTCTCTCTGATTGGCTGGTGGGCATGGCTGGTGGGCAGAGCAGAATGGTGGTTAATTTGCATATTACTCTTTTATTAGATAGGATAAGTAGATTTTTGAGGGATTTATAACCAATACAAAACTGACATATCCATGTTTTATATTAGGAAATCTTGAATAGTATCTTTCTTTTCAACCTTATGTTATTTACCACATTCTCCCTGCATTCCTGAAATATAAACTGATAGTATTCTGGTTAGCCAAAGTGAGGACAAAGAATCAATTTCCTGGACCACTGAACTCAGTTTTCCCTTGACTTCTCCAAAGCCTTCTTAGAAATAACTATACAGGGAGCTTTACAACTGTGGAATCATTTTGACAAGTGACTTTGAGAAATTAACATGCTTTTCCCTTACATCCAAAAATCACTCAGTTCTCCTGACATCTTAATTTAGATAGCAAGAAGAGACTATTTTCTGGGTCAGAGTAAATGCTCAATCAACAAATATTTGCCTTACCTCTTAGAGAATACATTTGGATTTAATGGTCACAAAGCATACTCAACTTTATAAATAGCTCTCTATCTTGATTTTCCTTGTATATGTATCCGTTGTCAGCCATTTGAATTTCTAAAGGCTCTTTCTGAAGATATTTTTTGGTCCAGTCATCCCATTATAAGAAATCTAACACTCTAGTGAATAGGCATAATGACTATTACCTATGGGAAGCTGACTCATAAAGTTTCCTGCTGACAACATAAAAGGCAACTACCTTTTGACCAAGCACTCTGCCACTGTCTTTTTGCAGCACGAGTAAACATACAACACAAAGCAGTATAAGTCATCATCCAGTCTTTTCCACTCCTTCCTTCTTACCGACTTCTTCAGAACACTAAATTGTATATATGGATCAGGATCCCCAGTAATACAAAGCCCTGCCTTTAAGATTTCTGATTCCCACAGAATCTGGAAATATGCATATTTATTTTCATCTTCAATAAACTGAAGACATTCTTTATTATACAGAACTTAGAGAATAAATGTGAGGAGGAAAGTAGAACACAATGAACGTTTTTTCTTCAGACTCTGGAAGTGGGGTATTGCTTCTTGGCACACAGCCTAGCTTTCTACATCTAAAAGGCTAACTTCTAACTGCGAAGAGCTACAAATTCCCAACACCAGCTATATCTAAGAGAACATATTAGTTGTATTAATTATATTTTGGGGAAATCATATTTTGCTTATTTTAAGTAGGGCTCTATGGGAAAAGAACACCTGAGAAAAAGGAATTTTGCTCATCTTTTCCTGAGATTATATCTTTTAGTAAAACTTTTGGCTTCCACAGCTTCAACTGCTCACTGCTGTTTCTCTACTAAATGCGAAACCTTAAACAGTCGTAATACCTAGTTGAGAAGTTACTGCTGCCGGGTTCCCATTCAAGTTTGAAGAAGGCTGAGGCTCCCTTTTTCAAAACACATACCCAAAGTTTGTTCAACACAGTACTTGGGCTCCACCTATGGGCAAAGAAAAGGGATGCTTTAACATCTATGTACCTATACATAGATAGGTTTTTAGATAGGTTTTTAGAGTTTCCAGGTTTTTAGAGTTTCCCCTAAAATAAGACGTCCTCCGAAAATAAGACCTACTTACAGGTTTCCTTCTGAGTGAAATATAAGGCATCCCTCTAAAAAAAAAAAAAAAAAAAAAGGCTCCCCCTAGGCTAAACATGAGAGATTTGGTCCACTGATTCTGAAAGAAATGGAGTCACAAGAAATTCACCAGGAAATTCAGGAATTGGATTGTTATGATGATGTTCCAGAAGATGATGACATGATTGTCATTGAATAAATGAGTGAATTCCTTTTACTGTAGGATTCACAGTTTGTCTGGTTTGTGTTGACAACTACCGTACTACCGTACCGTATACAGGTAATAAATTTCCTTTATTTTCATTTAACAATAAATGTGTACCATATTCTTCTTCATAGAAAAATAAGACATCCCCTGAAAATAAGACCTAGTGCATCTTTGGGAGCAAAAATTAATATAAGACACTGTCTTATTTTCGGGGAAACAGGGTAGTATGTATGCAAGAGAGACTGTCCCAGCCGAAACTGGTTTGGCTCATGGGTAGAGCGTGGGCCTGTGGACTGAAAGGTCCCAGGTTTGATTCCAGTCAAGGGCATGTACCTTGATTGCAGGCACATCCCCAATAGGAAGTATGCAAGAGGCAGCTGATCAATGATTCTCTCTCATCAATGTTTCTAACTATCCCCCTCTCTGTAAAAAATCAATAAAATATATTTTTAAAAGAGAGGGAGAGGGAGAGGGAGAGGGAGAGGGAGAGGGAGAGGGAGAGGGAGAGAGAGAGAGAGAGAGAGAGAGAGAGAGAGAGAGAGAGAGAGAGACCCCCATGTGCTGAAGTAATTTTCAGCACTACTACAAACTCTTTAAGTTTCCAAACAGATCATCTGGTCAGACATTAACTAGATAATTCTAATATTGACTGCTTTAAAGAGCTACCCATTGTTTAGTCCTGAACCCTACTAAGATATAAATATACGGTCAGTAGGTGCTTGTCTATTTGACATTTATTCCTTCAAAATTCTTGCATCTGCTGCAGCTGGGAGATTTTACCATTTTCCAATCAATTGCCTATTTTTCTATAAATCCCATCTCTTGCCTTAGGCTTTTAGACATTCCTCTTTGAAGAGATTGAAACTCTGCTGATAGGTTAACTTAATATCAACTCTAAAAAGCAGAATTAATCCAGTAGGTATCTAATTTACCTTAAGACAGCAACCCTATATTTAGTACAAGTCCAAAATAAAAATCTTGCCAGTTATATAGATATATTAATAAGTTTTAATAACCTAAATATGAAGCAATTTTTTTTCAAAATGAGGTGTTTTACTTTTCTTTCCATGATATTTCAAGAAGGTCTGTAAAGACAGATAGTATATCTGTGCTACAAGTGTAATTTTTCTTAACTTGCCTAAATATAGTTATTTGTTGAAATCAGAGGAATATTCTTTTTTTTTTTCAATCTCATCCTTGCCCTTCAAAAAAATAACAGCTTTTGGAGATACATTTATATACCATACAATTCTCCCACTTAAAGTATACAATACAGTGTTTTAGTATATCCACAGGTATGTACAGTCACCACTATAATCAATTTTGGAACATTTTCATAACCTCAAAAACAATCTCTCTCCCCTTTATCTGTCATCCTCCTCCTATCCTCTCATATCCCCACTTAACCCTAAGTAATGAATGGTCTACACAATCTCTATAAATTTACCTATTTTGGGCATTTTATATAATGGTATCATATGTGATCTTTTGTAACTGGCTTTTTCTACTTAGCCCTTTTCTTATAGTCACTACTTTTTTTAGGTTAATAAAGCCAAAATCAAGGCTAAAATTTGAATGGGATGGTAAGGAAGCTCTGCTCTTTACTTTTCATAAGGAAAAAAAAACTTTATAAAAACTTTGTGTTTATTGTAGAAAACTTGGACCCTTTCAGAAAATTATATAGCAAAAGGAATAAAAATCATATATAATTCTAGCAGAAGCTTTAGTTTTCATGTATGCCTTTCCCATATTTTTCTATTGATACATAAACATATATCTACATGTGCAATTCTGCATGTTTATAACTATATGAGTTTTCCTTTGTCAGTGAATCTTCTTCATAAATATCAGTTTAGCCTGCATAATATTTTATCTAAGGCTATATCATTGTATATTTAAATTTATATGTTATTGGACTTTTGATTTCTTTCTATTTCTCAGTAATGTAAGCAACTCTGAAATAAGTATGTGCATCGAGATTTGTAAAATAAGCCATATGATTTTACATATATATGGAATTTAATAAACAAAATGAACTAACTAGCAAAATAGAGACAGACCAGCAGGCTGACAGCTATAGTGGAGAAATTGAACAAAAAAAAAAGAGGAAAAACTCTTGGACATAGAAAAAAAAGATTTATTCATTTTCTTAACAGATTTCTAGAGATGAAATTACTGGGTCAATGGATACAAAAATGTTTAAGAATTGGCTTTTTAAAGTCATGTTTGGGTTGTCAAAGGATTAATGACATGTCGACTTAAACACATCTTTGATGATTTTATAGCTACTCATATTCAAATAATCTCTGCAAGCATTACTATTAATGGATTGAATCTAATCTTTCATTTCAGATGCTAGGATGCACCTTTTCTTTCTGTCTCCTATTCTGTGGGTTAGAAATCAGGTCTGACTGATGTACAAGCCTTGTCAGACAAGCACATATGCTCATCTTGTCTGTGACTGCCTGTTTAAAATTAATCTCAGCAACCATATTTTGCTTCTTTTCTTTTCTTTCAGATGGAATGGGTCGAGTCCTTGCTCAAGATGTATATGCAAAAGATAACCTACCCCCCTTCCCAGCATCAGTAAAAGATGGCTATGCTGTTCGAGGTAAATATTTTGGCTTTCTTGAGTATCATCATAACTCCCACTGTGTGTTTTTTCACATTTTTGGCTTAGCCTGGGCACCCAACAACTGTTAAATCTGTTTCCCCCTTGGTTGTCAAAATAATTTTATTCACAGATAACAAAAGTAATCTACATCTATCTATTTTCTGACACAACCTTGTGTAAAGTTTTTTAGTAAAATTACTATAGTTACTTAAAAAGTATTATTTATAATTATATGTAGAAATTGATATAAAAAAACACTGTATTATAGTTCATTCTTTTAGTCTTGCACATACAAGATAGCACAGTCTTACTTTGTTTGGATGTTTTTTGCATGTTTTCTAGTTGAAAACAGCTAATGGTACAAGAAAGAAGAGCAGATTCCCAACATAGGGATAAAGTGGGGTGATCTTTTCTCTTGCTTTAAACTCAAACATCAATAAAGGCTTCATAAAAAGCAGGAATGAGAGAAACCTCTAATTCCCCGGAAGATGCCATATTTCAATTCCAGACGATACCAGCAGTTCACACCTTTGGTCTTTCCTGAGATTACATAAAACTTAAAAGCAAATATGAAATAGTATTTGCCTGCCCAAAGTCCAATCTAAGAACCCGAAACAAAAATGTAATTGAATTGGTTAGAAACTATTATTAGTTATTAACTCAAGGCTTATGTCATTGAAGAAATGTCTAAAAACATTTCCCAATTTATTAAAGCTGTTAAGAAGGCCAATTCCTTTTTTAATGATAATTTATGGAGTTTCTTACCTGATTTTTGTCATTATTTTCTTTTTACTCTATCTAACTATTAAAATAATTTTCTATTTTTTGTAATGAAATACATTAGTTAATCTCCATGTTCCATCACCGTCTCTTAAAAGTATCTTTTTATGTTGGAAGCAGTACAGTAAGTGGTTAAGGGTATGGGCTTTGAGCACAGTAAGAGTGATCTGGGTTCTAGTACCAGTTCCATTGATATAATTTTCAGCAAATTACCTAAACTTTTTGGGCCTCAATTTCTCAACTGTAAAATGGTGATAATTATAACTGTTCTTACCCAACAGGTTGTTGTGAGGATTAAATGAGACTATAAAAATGCTTAGTAAAGTTCCTGGCACCGAAAAGAGCACTCAGTAATTGTTTTTAATAATAGTAACTATTATTATCACTACTGTTATTATGATAAACATATTTACTTATACAATCTCTGAAGAAAGTATAACATTTATCTAAATTGTTAATCTCATATTCTATGTAAATAAAATGGTGAAGGGATTAATTCCTACTAGTATATACTTTCTCAGGAACACTATCTTGTATGCACCTCATTCTGCTTGATCTCACTAAATTATAGTATTTCTAAAAATATAAATAATAAACCCCTACCAAATTTTTCCCAAGTAATTCCTTTTACAGAGTTTATTATATAATGCATATTGTCCAGAAATAAAATTGTTTTAACCTTCTGATAGCCTCATTGGTTCTTTTTGTTTCTTATTCCCAATCTAAGATATAAATTTTGTTTGGACTTATAATTAATAGCCATACAGTATTACTATTAAATCACAAACAGTTCTTATTTCCAGAATAGAAAAAACAGCTACAACAAATGAAATATCAAAGGAAAAGAAAGTCTATTTTTACATGCTTTGTAATATGAAGTAGGAGAAAGTGAGAAAATAAATTATTTGAGGCAGAATTATTCTCAAACAGAATGTTGTTTTGTGGTTTTTGCATGAGATGTAGCAGCTTAATAAAAAGAAACTATTGCTCTTAGCTTTTCAAGTTACCATAAAGAGCAGTTTGCCCACATGAGCCATAAAAAGAGCCTTTCTGCTATAGAATCTATCAAAGAAATTTTTATGTAAAGTTATCATTCAATATGTTATTTTTCCTTTTGTTTTGAAGTAATGGTATTTTAATTATTTTACACAGAGGAAAAAACACATCTAAAATGTCATCATCTCACCATATAAAAGTTTCAATAGGTTATATATCATGCAGTTTATTCATATTATTTCTTTCCTGTGAAGTATTGATAGTTCTCTAATATGTAGACCATTTAACAGAGAATTAACACATAACATAACATTGTGGATATAGTTAAATCTCAAATTGGGAATGGTTGGTGAATATATATATATATATATATATATATATATATATATATTTATCAACATCATACTTATAGTCATCAGTAAACAAAAAGACATGGTCTTAGTCTTTTCTGTGTAATAATACCATCCCCTAGTCATTGTCTTGGTAAAGAATATCCTTGAAGTTATTGTTGTGGTTCTTTACCACTCTACTTCGTGTCCCCTCTTCTCTCCACCCTGCCTTCCTTTACTGCCATTCTTTCCTCCCCACTCCCGTTATTCTCCCTTTTTTCTTCTCCTCTGCCTTTGCCTTAGGCCTTCCAGTAATAACCAGTGGCACCTGTGAGCATTGCTAACCCTCTAGGTGTAAAGAGATTGCTAACTTGCTCTGGATCACTAAGCATTAGCCAGTATCCTTCAGAAGCATGTGGCATAAAACTCCAAACCAGTTGGAGGATGACTTGCTTTAAGGTATGTGGGTTGAAAGAATCAAGACAGTAAAAAATGACTAAGGAAATAAGAAATAGGAACAACTTTTAAAAAATAAGATAGATTAGAATGTAAGGAAGGCAGGAGTCAAATAATGATGATTTAAATAATAGGAAGAGCTGTGACCTTATAAGCCTAAAGCTGTATTCAGGAGAGAGTAAATTTGAAAGGTAAAATAAAATGAAAGCATATTATCAATTAGAATCATATTCTTCATATTTTTGAAGTTATTTCTCCCTTCATACTGATTAAGTCAGTCATTTTAATGCATTCACACCCTCCTGGAGAGATGTGGGTAGGTGTTCATTGTCTCACAATTTTTTTTAATTACAGTTTATTTCAATATTATTTTTTATTGATTTTAGGTTTATAGCTTAATGTTTAGACAATCATATAGTTTATCTAGAGTTATCCTCAATATTTTCATTACCAGACTGGCACCATACATAAGTTATCATAATGTTATTGACTATATTCCTTATGCTTTACTTTATATCCCTATGACTGTTTTGTAACTACAATTTATACTTCTTAATCTTTTTACCTCTTTCTCCCAGTCTCCCAACACTCTTCCCCTCTGCCAGCCAACAGCCTACTCTTTGCATCAAATGTTGTTTGTTCATTTATTTTTTTCTTTAGATTCCACATATAAGTGAAATCATATGGTATTTGTCTTTCTCTAACTGACTTAATTCACTAATCATAATACTCCCCAGGTCCATCTAGCCTGTCTTGAGAAAAACAAATGTATATGGAACCACAAAAATCCCAAATAGCTTCAGCAATATTGAGAAAGAAGAACAAAGTTGGAAGTATCACACTACCTGAGATCAAACTATACTATAAGGCCATAGAAATCAAAAGAGCATGGTACTGGTATAAAAACAGACATATAGATTAATGGAATAGAATAGAGAGCCCAGAAATAGACCCATGCCTATATAGTCAATTAATATTTAACAAAGGAAACAAGAACATACAATGGAGTAAAGATAGTCTGTTCAATAAATGGTGCTGGGAAAATTGAAGAAGGAAAAAAAAAAAGAAACTAGGACATCTTACACAGTTTCTTCTTAGATGTTAATAAAGGGGAAAATGTCTCAGAATTCCAGGTTCAGTTTTCTTGAAAATGTTCAATTTGAAAGGCTTATCCCTTCAGAGCTTGTTTTGGGATTATTTATAAAAAGGAAAAATTATGAACAAACCAGCAATTATTTTGGGAACCACAGGTTGTAAATAATTCTGGAAGGATATATTAAAATAAATCTTTGCCATTTGGGTAAAGTAGATTTTTTAATGATTTTTTTTGTTGTTGTTTTACTTTCTGATTGAAATATTTGCTCATGGAAATTATAGAGAATCAAAAAGAACATTTAAAAATTCCTGTTTTCTCACTGTCCAACCACTATTATTATTGTTGCACTTCCTCACAGTAGGTTAAACTGTATACTAAAATTCAGTATAACCTTTATTTCATTTGTGATTTATCAGTATATTTTTTTTATTTAGAGCTAATTCTTAGTCTTTCATGAAAGCCATGTCCCAGGGTTTTTATTTTGCCCATTCAAAACCTTTTTGACCACAGCTGGTTCCCCAACCCATTTGACAGCCTACTGCCTCCACTGTACTCTTCTTATTATGATATGGGAGTATTACTCATATAAGCAGAGAGATAATTTGGAATAATTAATTTTACTTTGGAATAATTAATAATACTGTATTAAGGAATATCTCTTTTCTCAATACTAAAAACAAAATGGCTGTTTTTCTTCTGGAAGATAATTGTAAATGATATAAAATGCCTTCTCATTCATCTGTTCTACTCCCTAGCTCCCTGCTTTCCATAAGAAAAGGCCACAGATTTAAAATTCCAAATAACTAACCTCAATATAATTGCAGCAAGTATTAATCCTGTTGTGCTAGTCTTGTCACCTTCTGTTTCCTCCACCCCAGCTCTTTCTATAATCTTAATTTTACTATATACATAAATACTATTGCCCTGTTGTTTATCATTCTGGTCTTAGTGTCATTCCATTATCAAAGTAAATAAATTCCTCTGCCTTGTTCCTCTGTTGAAGATATTTCTTAGGATCTCTGAAAGGTTTGTCATCTCTGCAATCTTTTTTATTCAGTTCTAACATGGAAATGATGAGACTCTTTATTATTGGAAATAAATGAATAAAGTGTTTCAGGAGGCTTAAAGAGAGTTCACATATGGCTGGAAAATGAAAATAAGTGATAATTTTATAGTAAATGACTTGGGGAACACTATTTTCCATAAATTGCCACAATGAACAGTTATCTAATGTATTAATTTTATGTAAAATGATATCAGAAATCTTTACATAAACAGGTAAACAAGACTAAAAAAAATCTGGACATTAACAAAAGCTTCAGGATCTAGCATTAAGTGTAATGAATTACTTATATAATGCATTTGCTGTTAGGATTAGGTTTATATTGCTTTTATCACATCCTTATAATTTAATTCAACAATTATGAAACAGAAAAGAAAGTTTATTAACTGAAATGTCAGAATTGGTGGGGGAGATCCTAAGCCTTTACATAAATCCTTGGAATCCATCTTTTCTAATGGCATTCTGTGGCTTAATTTTTTTTCAGATTTTAGGTTCATATACCACCATTCCTCCACTTCAGCCCCCTCATACCCAGGCTTGTAGAACTCGTCTTGAAAATGGCAACTTTTCTTTTACTTATCTCTTTAATAAATATTTTTCAATAAATACCAGCAATTAGATAGATTGGTTATTATTTGTCTATCTTTATAAGAAATAGTAAACCTTGGTGTCAATGTAAAATCAGAACTTCTGTGGTTCACTGACTTTTTTTATTCCTTAAATTTTCTCTTAGTCTGAATGTGTCTATATTCAGTTCAATCTTGTCCGCTTCTCAACAAGAATAGTCCATGAACCAACAGCATCAGCATCAGCTTTTTTAGAAGTGTAGAACCTCAGGTCCTATCCCGGACCCACTGAATCAGAATCTGTATTTTAACAAGATTGCCAGGTGATTTATATGCTCATTAAGGACTGAGAAGCACTATTATAAGGGAAATATAATTTTTAAAAATACTCCTCTTGATTCAAAGAGCCTTTATAATGTTGGTTAACTGAGCCTTCCTTAGCCAGCAGTATAGAGGCCTGTTTCCCAAGGCAAGGTGGAGAACATAATTTAAGTGACCATGAATTCTCTCCCCAGTTAACTCAGTTTCTAATCACAAAGGATCTTGCTGCTTAGAATCACTTAAGGGCTCTTTCAGAATTTGGCCTCCCGGACAATCTATACCAGACTTGCCCCAGATGATCTCCAGTCACTCATTATTCAGTAACATTTATTTAGAGCATTTGTGTAAAACATTGATGTAAGCATTTTAAGTGTATGTGCATTTGCATGTGTGGGGGAACAGGAGACAGGAGGAAGATTGAAGAGCAGAGCGTTTCAAAAAAGAAATGAAGGAAGTGATCCCTGTTTCTACAGAGCTGATTTTAAAGTATTTTGAAAGATTTACAAAACATAGCAGTAACACATACAAGTCAACTTTTCACCTAAGTATTATAGAAATGCCAATTTCATTTCTTTATTCTTTTAACAAGTACTTATTGAGCATCACTGATGAGGTAGTCATAACCTTGACTGAATAACAATATAATCTAAATTATATAAAATTAATCAGAGTAATCTTTCTAAATATCTAAAGATGGTGAATGTTGACACACATTTTGAAGACAGTATGCCTAGAAGAAAATGAAAGACATTCAAAATGCAGCATTATGTGTTGGAAAAAAATATTCATTCATTCATTCATGCATCTTTCTAAGTAGATTATTAATTTATTCTTATTTATTGGACACTTTGAATACTTTACATAGTGAACATTTTCTAATGTTCATAGAATACCTATTATGCAGCAATTTCTAGGGATCCCCTGAGAAAAATAAGCAAATAATTGCAAATACATTAGGAAGCCATATTAGAGTTATTTCAGTTATTTACTTCTGGAGAAACCAAAGAGGAAGTAGGTGACACCTAAGTATTGGGAATTAGATATGACTTCTTAAAGAAAATGACATTTGAACTGAGTCTAAAAGCTAAGAAGTCTTTCATCAAAGGCAGGGATAAAGAAAGGACACTCCAAGCAATGGGAGCTGAAATATGAATCATCCTTAGGAGCTACAGTACTAGAATTTGAGAGTGGCTAAAGGGTAAGATATAAAGAGGACATTAACCCGAGGCCTTTACACATACCGCTCTCTAGGTGAAGAACTTTAGATGGAGTATTTCCACCTCCCTACCCCTACCCCTCTCTCTCATCTCTATCTCTATCTCTCTTTCATACACACACACACACACACACACACACACACACACACACTCCTACCTTTTGCCTACTTAGCCTTATTCATCCTTCATATTCAAATAAAAAATCCTTTTGTTAGGATAACTTTCCTTAACCCTCCAGTGTAGTTACAGTACTTTTATTGTGTACTGTCATAAAAAGTGATTTTCTTAATTTGTATTTATATATTCATTAATATGATTGGTTAATATCTATTACATCAGTGGCTTGAAGAGTTTTATTTTAACCACACTAATAGGAAGACATGCATTTATTCTCTACTTTAGTGTAATGGTGGATACAAGACACTGCATTTGTCAAAACTCACAGAACTATATAACACAGAGTGAATCTTAATGTAACCTTTGGACTTAAATTATTAATAATGTGTTAATATTAATTCGTCCATTTTAACAGATATACCTCACTAATACAAGATATTGATGATAGGAGAAACTATGGACAGGAGCAGAGGGGGATATGGGAACTTTAAACTCTTCTGGGCAATTTTGCTACAAACCTAAAACTGCTCTTAAAAATAAAGTCTGTTTTTAAAAAGTAATAAAAAGACATTAAATACAGTATACATTACAAGCCAATGATTTACACACATATATAACATATACAATATCTACAAATATATATATTTATATATTTATATATATATATGCACACATATAAAAATAAGTTTCCTGAAACAGTATTCATCCTTAATATATGTGATGAAATATATTTTCTATTCTTTTTAATTTGAAGGGGGAAAAAACATTGTTTATGGGTTGTTTTTAGAGCTCACCTCCATTTTTGATCCAGAGTTTAAAAAACATTCCAACAGCCGAGACCGATTTGGCTCAATGGATAGAGCATCGGCTTGGGGACTGAAGGATCCCGGGTTCGATTCCGGTCAAGGGCATGTACCTTGGTTACGGGCATATCCCCAATAGGGGGTGTGCAGGAGGCAGCTGATCGATGATTCTCTCTCATCGATGTTTCTAACTATCTCTCTCCCTTCCTCTCTGTACAAAATCAATAAAAATATTAAAAACACACACACACAAAAAAAAAAACATTACAACAGACTGGCACTTCACTAGAATTGAAACAATGTCTGATCTTACTCTTTACCTCAGGACACTTAGAAATTTAGTGAATGAGTGAAAGGAATGAAAAGCTTTAAAAAGAATTAGTAATTTTAAATTATTATCCCCATTTTTATCAATAAGAAAACTGTGAAGGCTAGAGAAAAGTTTAGTAATTTGCTGGAAATCCTGAGGCTAATAATAAGCAGAACTAGGATTCAGATTCAGCTTTGTTTTCTTTAAAGCCATGCTAATTTTCCTTCCCACAAAGAAGTAAAAAGAGAAAATATCTATGTTGCTACTGGGAGATGGCAAGCTGGTAATATCTTTACTAGAAATATAATTAAAAACAAATGTATTCACATGTGAGATGCAGTTAGTGCAGAATTCTGAAAGCTAATTAACTTTTTAATTTTCAACAGTAAAAAAATAATGATTTACTTTAAAATTCTGCCAAAAATAAGTGAGGGAATAGATAAAACAAGATGGGTAAAATGTTGATAATTGTTGAAGCAAGTACTTCTATGTTTGTTTAAACTTTTCACTTCAAAAAAAGTTTTTTAAAGAAAGAAGAACCCAGGAAAACAGCATAGTAGGAATAGCATTACAGGAAAACTGTTCTCTTTTTTACAAGTGAACACTGAAAATACTCTAAGATTATAAACAAACACAAATCAAGAGTTTATTAACTAAGATAATGTTTATGAAGCACGAGATACAATATCTTTCCTGAAGAAGATACCCAATATCAATTCTTATTTCCCTCCACAATAGGTCAAAGTCTGTGCCAAAAGTGACTCATTATAACAACATTGTTTACAAGCCTTTAGTAAATAAATAAATAAATAATACAATGTTATAGAGAAATAATGAATTTCATATCTCCTTTTTAAAATAAAGAATAAAGAAAATACTTTTATTATTTACCAGCATGATTGCAAATATAATTAAAATAACATATAAAATGTTGTCTTTTCTGTATATATGTCCCATACCTTAGCTGTATGCAGATAACACAGAACTAATGGTCCTGATCATAAAACTCATTAGGTAGATATTGCCTTACCAGTAGTATTGGTCTGAAATCACATCATATGTGAAGAAAACCCTTTTGAATATATTTATTTATAGGAATACCTTATCCAGACATTACTATACTATATTCAGAAAAAAATGAGTAAGACGGTTTTTTTCAATCTCAATAGTGAAAAGGTTTCTTCCAATTTAAAAATAATCAATTGAAAAAATGTGATGCAGCATTGCCTATGCATTCTGATTCAGAATAATATACATTGACCCATTATAAAACACACACACACACACACACACACACAGTATTAGAAATTAAGAGACTGGATTTTAATCCTAGCTCTAGCACAATCCAGAACTTGTTCAATGTACTTAACCTTTTCTACCTAAATTCCTTTATTCTGTAATTCATTTCCTTCAAATGTCAAAAGGAGAAAAGAATGTTAGGTTCTTCCTACTTCACTGGGTTAATCTAAAGATCAAACTGAGTGATAATTTTTTTTAAAACGACATTAGTTAAAAAAATTTATAGAAAATGGAGAAATGTATAGTGATATCCATGAGTGGCACACACACACATCACAAATACCCATAAATAAAGTGGTATTTATTTAGGAAGATGGGGGGTGGAAACCTTCCTATTTTAAAAGCACATGTTTGGAAATTATCAAGCAAGAGGAAGACCATCTCAAATGACACCAAGAAAGAGCACAAATTAGGAACACTTCAATTAGTATATGTGAGTTTGGATACCAAACCAGGAGTAAAGCCATTGTCTCATCTAGACACTTTCCTGAAGCCTATCTGATCATTTGAGTCAAATTTTAGAATTCCAATAGTAGGTTTTTATTCCTTGCTATAGGTCCATTCTGATGTTTGTTCTTGGTTCTGTTCATCTCACAGCTGCTGATGGCCCAGGAGACCGTTTCATCATTGGGGAATCCCAAGCCGGTGAACAGGTAGATTCATAGGCCTGACAAGCCCTAAAGAGTTCAGTTTTATGCACTTTCAGGAACTAATTCTAAGTTTCAACGATCACTGTAGGGGAAATCTTAGAAAGGAATTAGACTGGTTATCAAAGAGATTAGAGAAGAGTTCCCATTAGAAGAGCCAATTCTTTCTTACTGTAAGAATCTGCATCTATTAATATATGGCATGGTCTTGTTGGCATGTCTCAGAGACATGCCCACAAACATTTTCCAGCCCTTGACTGGATGATTCTTCCTGAATAAATATCAGTGTTTATGAATTGAACTACTGTCCAGAAGTGTTTTAAAAATTACACGGAATGCTCAGGGAATTGCAAATAGTTTGTAGTAGTCACAATATACATAAGGATAGGTAGCAGATTGTTAAGGACTTTGTGGACTTCTTAAATTTTAGTTGCTGATTAAGACACCAGTTGTACTAGAGAACTAGGAGCACAAAGAAAAGTTATAAAACTTAAAAGTTCATAGCTTGTAAGTTCTTATAAAATTTTATGGGATAAATATCAAAACTATACAAGAAAATAGGTGGGTTTTTTGCACATTACCTGTGATATTCTTTATAACTTACATATCATACAGATGAACCAAGTTGCTCACTTATTGAAAGTACATACATGTGAGCATCGGGGTACCATTGCATACACTGAAACAGTGATTTACAAAATGGTTTCTTGCTATACTAAAATAACTTATGATTTATAACTTATCCTAGTGATTAGCACTGGACACTTTCAAAGAAAATACTATTTAATTATACAATGCTATTATTAGACAAAGCTCAAAAAATCCAACTCAATACCTCCATTAAGAAAAATTAAGATTTAAACTGTTTTTATTTTATATAAAGCATATAAGGTAGATCAATAAAAATTTTAAAAGAACTAGTCTTAACAATCAAAAAGAAGTACTTTACATATTGCTAGAGTTTTTCATTTGACTCAATTCAATTGACTCAATTCAATTATTAGATACATAAAACATTTATAATCTACTTAGAGTGTAGATATGTCCACTCTAAGTAGATTATAAATGTTTTATGTATCTAATAATTTCTTTTACATTGGATGTAATATAAGTAAGTTGATCTTTCATCTACCATTTAGAACAACTAGTCCTAGAGAGGAGCCAAATTGTTTGTTTAACAATCACACAAAAACTCTTTTTTATAAATATATAGTATATTTTTATTGATTTCAGAGAGGAAGGGAGAGGGAGAAAGGGATAGAAACATCAATGATGAGTTGCCTCATGGATGCTCCCCAACTGGGGATCAAGCCCACAACCCAGGCATGTGCCCTGACCAGAATGGAACTGTGACCTCCAGGTGCATAGGTCCATATTCAACCGCTGAGCAGCACTGACTGGGCCAAAAACATTTCTTAAGTGTTGGTTTAAGCCAAGAAGTAGACAAAATTGCAGATACAACCACTATAAAACTTAAAGTATACTTACAGAATATGGTGCATTGGGCTCCAGGCTAGCACACTTCAGCTACTGGTCTGAAACTCACTTTAGGATTTACTTTTTGCCTTAGCCAAAAAAGCACTTTCAGCAATTGAAGGACTATATTAAATGTCTTTGTTCCGCAGTCCCAGAAGATTTTTTTTTGGCATTAGCATCTCTACTAAAAAATGTATATTATGTCAGATCTTTAATGCTTGTCATTAAAAAAAATTACTGTGATGTTCCAGACAATAAGTAGTAGTAGTATCTGGGGTTGAAAATTAAGGAAGAAAATTTAATGTAATGGGCTCTAAACTTTTCATTTTAAATCCTATGCATTACCTTAGCATAAGATTACATTAAAATATAACAATTCTGAATGAGCCTGGAATGTATTTTCAATAGCAGAATAAGGGGATACACAGTATAATCCCAAGAATCACTTTCTCCAATAACTGTGAGAAAAGGAGGGAGAACACTGGAGTTGTAATCCATAAAGGATTGCATACTTCATGTAGTTATAATAATGAGATTATTCATGTTCATTTATTCATTCTGGAAATATTTATTTGTGCCAGACACTTTCTAGGCTTTGGAATGGTAGAGCAATAAATATGTCTGGAAAGAGGTGATTAAGAAGATTAATGTGGGGTCCATCTCCAAGATATAGATAGGGTTAAGAGAAACTAATGAAGAAATGTGAAGCATCCAGGGGATAACAGTGAAATTCTATTACCATCCCTATGTCTGAAGGAGCTAGGGGAAAGAGTGGACTGGAGAGATTCATAGCTATGGCTCAGGGTCACCTGTCAGTAGTAGAGATGACCTAGCCTTCACCAAAATGTAGCCCAGCAGGGAAAGAGCAAAGGAGATATAAACCCAGGTTTTTTTCCTCTCTCTTATGCCCTCTCTCTTGTGTTGACCCCTACCATTGGCTTTACCTAACTAGAATCCAGTGATGGAAACTTGGTTGAAATAGTCCATTAGAGATCAGCCTTCTGGGTCTCAGCACTGGATGGTATGATGATGTGATCTGGAGAGGCCAACAAAAAAATAAAACAAATTCTCTATGTTGGTTACTATATAAATTGAATGTAATAATGCACTTAACACTGTACCAAACATAGATTGAGGATTCAACATTATTATCTATTAGTGGGATTGTTTGTAGTGATAATATTGAAAGTAGCCTTTTAAAGCCGTTCTAATAAATAAATTTTCAGTTTTACTCCATATATATGCCCAGTGGAGAGGTATGTATCTTTAGCTATTCCCTAAAATGGTTTTAATCTGTTAAAAAATACATAACATGTACCATTGTAATCATTTTTAAGTGTACAGTATAGTAGTGTTAAATATATTCACATTGAGACCTAAAATTTTAGTATATGTACTGCTGAAGTGAGCACATGACCTAAGATTTTAATAAATATTTACGATGCAGATATCTTTGGAGAAATACTTATTTTAAAATATGTTTTTATTGATTTCAGAGAGAGGAGGGGAGAGGGAGATCAATGATGAGAGAGAATCTTCGCTTGGCTGCCTCCTGCAGGCCGCCACTACGGGGATTAAGCCATGACCTCCTGGTTCAAAGGTAGACAGTCAACCACTGAACGACACTGGCCAAGCTGAAAAGATTTTCATTGAGGAATAAATATTATCTCAGAATTTTATCTTAGAGAAAATTTGAAGCATTTTCCCCTCAATTCTGACCTAAATCATGGTCAATGACAAGTTGCTCATTTGAGACCAGCTCAAACTTATCAGTTGGATCTTATAGAAGTATGCTTTTTCCTAAGCTAGGAGAAGTACTGGATCTCTTATACCATTCCTATGAGAGTTCAGACAATGAAAATCTCAGATATAGTGTTTCATACAAATTATTACAGGCACTACAGTCATTTTAAAATTACTTAATTACATTTGGTAGAAAGATTTTCAAGTGGAATAATTTAAATGATTTTTCTGACTTGCTTATATTTAACCAAAAAGTTTAGTTTTAAGTTATGACTTTTCTCAAATATCAGAACTTCAGTAAGTGACTAATGTACTGGTTTTTCATAATTGTCATGCATAAAATCATTTTGCATAGCATTTTTTTTCTTAAAGATTCTGAAAGCACTTTACATATATTAAGAAATTTCACGTTATTTGAGTGAGAGAAAATAATGGCATGTGCAAGTGGCAGTTTTTCAATAGTAAAACAGGGTACCACAAAAGACATCAAATGGTCATTACCATAAATCAAGTTAAAGCCTCTTGGAGTAGACCTGTTTGTGAGTAGCTTTTATTACACTGGCCCAAAATGAGTAAGACTGTATGATTTTCCTTTTATGGTTTGTTTCTAAAAATGTTACATCTCCTACAAGAAAATGTTGCTTTTATTTAACAGCAGTGAAGTAAATCAGCTCTTTCTTACATTCTTGTGTTTCCAGCCAACTCAGACAGTAATGCCTGGACAAGTCATGCGGGTTACAACAGGTGCTCCAATCCCCTGCGGTGCTGATGCTGTAGTACAAGTAGAAGATACCGAACTTATCAGGGAGTCTGATGATGTATGTTGTTATCACCAGGTCTAATCATTACATTTCTGTAGCAGTATTTTAAGTTATATTCATTTTCTACAATGTTTATGAGAATTACCCAGTGTGTTTTGGTTATTTTAGGATCTTACAGTGTAGTGTATGAGTCTACACTAAATAATGAATTGCCGGCTTAGGTTTAAAAATCTGTTAATAGAAGACATTTTATGATTATTACTGTGATTATAGCATAGTTTGAGCCACATTGATTCAAGAAATATATGTAAACTAGGAAAGAAACTACCTCAATATAATATAAAAGAGCAGAGGTATTAATTGTTGACACACCTCTGGCTAAGAAGTTTGTTAACTGATACTAGCTTCTGATAAAATGTGAAGGGAGACTTAATAGAGAAAAATTTAACAAAGAACACTTAGGCAGGTTCTTAAATATTACACTAAGCCAAACATTTGAACCAAATAACACTCATCTCTAGTATCTATCTTTCAGAAAAATCTGTACCACCAATTAACAGCCTGGAAATATTAAATTGATACCAGTTCCCCCTCTATTGCCTGAAATAAAGAACCCTCGTACCTTTTGTGGTTTAAGCAGGTCTTCATGTCACTGAAACTAGTGGCAATTTTATTACAGCCAGAGGATCAGTCACCAATAAAAGAATAGTTTCAAATGAGATCTTAATGACTGTCTATCTTACTTGTTTTGTGAAGAAGTTTAAGGTAGCTTATATTTTAAAAGCTGAAGTTAAAAATAATAATATTCTCCTGGTCTGGCATATAGTAAAATTTGGCCATGCTGAGAGACCAAATTTCTTGATCTGGGAATTTTTTTAATCATCTTTTCACATGTTATGCTTATAAGATTCAACTCTTGGCATACAGATCACATTGCTTGATTTAAAACTGTCCAGCAGATTTATTGGCATCAGGGAAGCCAACAGAACACTAAAATACAGAACACATGCCTCCATGGACTCTGCCAGATGACAAAACACAGTTCCAGTCTCACAATATTTTTCACAGCCCATAAATGTAAAATTGATGATCAACTATTCATTTATAGAAATTTACTATCAGGCAAACTATAAGTCCTTCACTGAAATTTCTGCAGATATTTGGGAACCTTGATATAGTATTGAACCCATGATGCATGGGTACAGAAGATATAAGTTATCTCTTTACACATTCATTTGGCTACTAGAGTAGCCATATATATATACAAAGTGGGGCAAAAGTAGGTTTACAGTTGTGAATATGCAAAGCAGTTTATTCTTATATTATTATTTATTATATTATTTTCCATACAAACATTACATATAAATAATATAAATAAAATTATTTTTCCTTGAGAATGCTACTTACAAAGTAAGATTCAGTATTTTGATAGGGTTTTTTTTAAGTGTAAAAATATTTTATATATTCCTTGGCATCAAACCTAATTTTGCAGGAACCTATGGTAGAATTTTATCATGTTCAAAGTGTTTAGCAAATGTTTTTTTGTTTCTCTGTATTTGTATATATTCTGGGCCTATCTGGTGTAGCTAAATTCCATTAATCAGAACTTCTGTTAGATTGTTCTGTTTGAAATTGCACTACTTCCTCTTATTACAGGGCACTGAAGAACTTGAAGTACGAATTCTGGTGCAAGCTCGGCCAGGCCAAGATATCAGGTAAGTTCAAAACATATAAAATGTGTAGCCAACTTTTTTTTCTGCATGTTCATGAACTCAGGAAAGAATGGTTTTCATAAATCCACAGTTCAGTCAACCATTAGCTTTCAGGTTTTTTAACAAGTAGGAAATGAATTTTCTGAACTCTACAGTCCATGTCTGCTCTGCCTACATTTTCATGAAGATAGTAGAGGCAAATGAAATAATCAAAAGCAAAGATGAGACCACTGTTCTACCATAAGGAGGGCACATACTTTAAATGATCTTTGTTACATTGAAATATATTTACCCTGATTTCATTAACACCATTTGTCAAATCTCCTTGTGGCAAAGATACACTTCTCCCATCCTTATGTCAGGAGGCCAAGGTGAATGGACTTACGTGAACACATAACTGGACCAACCTAAGTGACTCAAATAGAAATTATTTCCTTGACTATAGTCTTATTAGCGTTTTTCTCCTTACCACAAAACTAATAAGCTGTAGACTTTTTATCATTAACTCCATATAATTTATTGCCTTATATCAAAGTTTGCAATTGGCATTTTTGACAGAAATGTGGTACAAAGCAATTTATAATTTTCAAATGTGAAATAACATTTAGCAATAATAGATATAAATTCTATTTTTGTCTTCTGTTTTATGATTTAATATTTTTAATTTAAGAAACATGCAGTTTTTAGAATCTCTTCATTTCATTATTCTACTCCTGCCTCATCTGTTAACATTTTTCTCCCTAAAGTGTCCTCCTTCTCTAACACTAAAGTTTCCCTCTGAGTTGAAAATATTATTCTTACTCGTCATGCTTATGGTTCTGCTTTGACTTTCAGACCCATCGGCCATGACATTAAAAGAGGGGAATGCGTGTTGGCCAAAGGAACGCACATGGGCCCCTCAGAGATTGGTCTTCTGGCAACTGTAGGTGTCACAGAGGTTGAAGTTAATAAGTTTCCAGTGGTTGCAGTCATGTCAACAGGGAATGAGGTAAAAAAGGAGGTGGGGGGGAATGGGCCTTTCAGATAAAAGTGTTTCTGACACCTATGTTATAAATAGAAGAAAGTAGAAATTACATATAAATAATCCCTTCCATTTATTAGAATGAAACAATGGCCTTTCCACACATGCAAAGAATGTTGAGGGATAGCTATAGATATTCAGCTGTGCAAACTCAGTACTTAGTCTATTAGGACAATGAATTGTGCCCACTCTGCTGCTGTGATGTAGGCCACCTCTTTGTGGGAAAGAATTCAGCGAATTGGGATACGATGGCTAGCCTATTCCTGCTAAAATTCCATATGATCTTTATGGAAGGGTTTGACAATTGGGTTTTTGTTTTTGTTTTTCACTAAAGATAGCATCTCTAGTGACATGCTATTTATAATGTATCAAATGTCATATGAGCCCTGATTTAGGAAGGAACATTTAATCAATCTTTTTCTGAGAATTCTCAAAAAACTTCCTATTCCCTGTTTTTCTTGGATTATACAAAAGTTCAGTTGGAGGGTCTATAGTCAAACTAGGAATATTGAAAAGTAAATCTGGTTGAAATTCAAAGCCTAAGATCAGAATCAGAAACTATTGATATTTTAAGAATTAATTCCTCTGTCAAATCTCAGATGGAAGGTAGGGGAAGGTGGAGAAAGGTGGAGAGATCAACCAAAGGACTTGTATGCATGCATATAAGCCTAACCAGTGGTCACGGACAACAGAGGGGTTGGGGTGTATGTGGGGAGGGGTTTGTGATGGGAATGGGGGGATGAGGACAACTATTTTCCTGCCCTCACAGATTTGATAATCCTCTGAAAGGTTTTGATAGATTCTGTATGACTTCCTTCCCCTACTTTCTCTGGCCTGCTGTATTACCGTGGTTTTCTAAGGTAACAATGCTTCTAAATTCTATAATCTCTCATTTGACATAGCTCAACATTTCTCCCCTACTCCCATACAAAGTTAGCTGTTATTATGATTCTCTAGGATCATATAGCTTAGTTATGTTTGTTGCGTCTCTCTATGCGTAGCAGTGTATTGGAAACTAGGTATAAAAGAGATAAAGCATATCTCTCCTTAAGACTTGAGATCCTCAAATAGCCACACAAAAAAACAGAAAAAAATCATTTATATATTTTCAGAGAGGCCAAAAGAAATGATACTTGTCTATCAATTCGGAAAGTTTATAATTTAATTATTCATAGCACAGGTTTCCTTAAGTATTAGTTCTGATTTCCCCTGATATATATGACTTCTCATATGTCCCATTATTGAAGCCAATGTCATATATTGGTAAGCAGAACAGTGGCCTTAGGCAATTGAAAGAATGCCACACTAGATATCTATGTATATCATACGTAAAATCTGCCCTGTATTTTGTGACTACATAAACTTGTTAATAATGAGGGAATTATTTCAAAATGGGGGAGGTACTGTTATAGACTACAAAGTAGCCTCTGTAGACACTTGTTGATTTCAAAAAAGTATATATATTAAAATTTAGTTAATACCATCCAATAATTACATAATTGTAGATATATGTTTCCAAAGTCATGTGTTTGTTCAGTCAATATTTTTTAGCAACTTATTTTATGCTGGAAGCCCACTAGGGATTCTCTTTTCTAAACATCAGACTTATAAGATATAAATTCACTGTATTTCCCAGGCTGTCTTTTCAGCTGTGGTCCAGTTAGGCTTTGGGATGCATTAACATGATATTAGAAGGTGGAAAGAAATTACCAGAAGTATAAGCTCCTTGACTCTTAGTAATACTTTCCCCAATATCCCCAGGAATGCTGGTGACTTCCCAACAGTTGCTGATCTTTGGTAACCAATACACCTGTAATCAATTCCATGTATTAAATTCTCCTTTCTCCCACACCCCCTTCATACCTAGAGGACTTTGGTTTTCTTGTCTGGACCTGATTGATAGAGTCTTCTATTTCATATAAGGTAATTAGGCCTCACTGATAAAGTAGAAATCAGAAAGCATTGGAGGGCATATGTCATAGGAAGGGAATTGTGTTCCAAACAGCAGGAACAAACAGAAAAGCCCTGAGGTAAGGTGCATGCTTGTCATGTTTGAGGAACAGCAAAGATGTCAATATGGCTGAAGTATAGGGGAAAGGAGCAAAGGAAAAGGAGATGAAGGTTTTGTAACCTATATAATAACGAGGTAATATGCAAATTGACCATCACAACCTCACAAGATGGCTACCTACGACCAGGCTGCCAGTGAGGTTAGTGAAGGATGACCAAACGACTGAACAGCAGGCTGTATGGGGGGAAAGGAGGGGCATTTGGCTGGTGGCCCCGTTCCTTTGTTTTTTGCAACTTAACTTTTATTTGTGCTATGTCTCAAAAATACCTTCTCCCCATGCCCCGGACAGAGTTGGGGAGGGGGCAACAAAAAAACAGAAAATGTCCCTCCCTATTGCACATGAACCCTATATACAGGCCCACCTGGCCCAGGCCAGCAGGATGCTTGATACATTCTTGGATCCCTGCTCAGGGCTGGGAGGGGTGACTGGTGGTAGCACACGTGAGAGGGGACATCCGGGTGGCCACTCTGGTCCTGCCTACTGGTCCTGGCACTTCCTGGTCCTCTTTTCCTTCCTGGTCCTTCCTGCAGCCCTGGTCCCTCTACCTGGATCAATCCTGGCCACAGATGGCCCCCTTGGCTCCTGGGGGTTCTGTCCTCTCCTCCCAACCTGGAGGTCAAGGGGAAGTTATGGCTTCTCAGAGACTCTACAACAGCCCTGTCACTCATGATCACACAGGGGAAGGGTGCATGTGGCAGAAGCAGTATAAATGTAGGTGCAGGGGCAAGTCCTCTGGGGTCACTTGGACAGTTTGCTGATGATGTGGATCAGGGCAGTGTTCTTGTCCTTAAGGCACTAGTTGTCAGCCCAGAGGTTGGACAGGTCCTTCAGCTCCTCTTCCAGCTCAGCAGCCTTGTGCTCCAGGGCCCTGAGCTCAAATCTCTCCAGCTCCATCTTGAGCTGCGACAGCCACAGCATGATCTCTGTCAGGGCCTCACAAAGACTCTCATTCTCAACATGCAGCGTAGAGCTTCCTGAAGCCTCCCTCAGGCTCTTCCGATTTGGGCTGGAGTTCTGGGTTGAGGGCCCGCTGCCTATGAAGGGGGGGGGGGGGGGCTGGATTCTGGGCTGATGTCTACTCGCTTCACCTCCTCCCCCTCCGAAGGCCCTCTCCTCTCCTTGCCAGTTCTGTGGTGCTCCCTGGAGGCCTGTAGTCCCTGTCCCTGTCCCTATCCCTGCTGGTCAGGAGCCTCTACTCTTTGAGCAGGGCCATCAGAGTTCTCAGCCACAGGGATGCAGGGCTGCCGGAAAGGAAGGGTCCAGGCTCTGTGCAGCCCCACTCTTGATATGGATGGGAGAGTCTAATCAGGGGCAGGCCAACAGAGGGGAGGAGCTGAGAGGTTTGCCGGCCAGCCCCACCCCCTGATTGGGCGGTTCACTGGCCACAGTGGGCATCATAGCTACCAGTTGTTTGGTCATCATTGTCATCACAGACACTTGCTTTTTATATAGATAGATAGATTCTTTGGGTTCCTCTACAAGCGGCTGCTATAAAGCTAGGTCTTTAAAATCTTTCTCCCCACTAATAAGGAATATGAAGTTGAGTGCCTACTATGCCCAGAACTCTATGTGCTTTGTAACTAAAGCAACACTATGAGATTAGTATAATTATCCAGGAAATTGACACTCAAAAACAAAGCAACTAGCCTAACATAGTTTGTGTAAGTTATGTACTGTGTTTCATATCTAAGTCTTTTGGCTATAATGACTTTTCCCCACTATGTCACAATGCTTCCCACTAAAGGTTTCTTAACTTTCATTTGCCCAACTTTTCAATGGCAATCTGAAATCTATCAGATTGGATAGTACATTACTTTCTTCCAGCTATATTACATATTTCTTGTCCAGATTAAAGACTATGGCTTACTGCTAACACTTCAGGTAGCTTCACTCCTTCTAATCTATTCCTTTGCTTATTAAATATCAAAACTGGATGGCTTCATCCTCCAACTACAGTTTTGCTCCCAAAAATAAAAACATTACTGAAAAAATTCATAAAACTTGGATTGCCTGACCCACTACAAATTTTTGCCATTTAATGTCAACCTGGCACTTAAAGTTGCTCAGTAATTCTGACATCACTGTTTATTTCTTAACACATTCCTGCAGTGGATAGATCATTCATACATTCTATACGCCCTTTATACCTTACTGGCAGCCCTACTTTCTCACTCTTGGCAGATAACCTCATGTGTGACCTTTATGGGGGAAAAAATGAAACTAAAAAATACTTGTCAAACTGAACTAGATAAGGGTTCCTTCATTTTTTCTTCTCTTTACCTCATAGCTAAGTTTCTTTCGAACAATCTAAAAACAAAAATTAGGACAAATTTAATCAGATAACCAAAAATTCCTGGGAACCTTATTTTTACAACAAACAAAATAAATGTCAGCTAGCTTTAGGAACTAAACATAAAAGGATGGGGAAACAAAAACAACAGAAAAGTATCAGAGCTTAATGTAGTGCTGGACTTATTACCATAGACAAAGATAATCCCCAACCAAAGAGGCTCTAGAGATTTCAATGAAGTACATTGTAACCAGTATGAGATTACTGGTGGCAAGGGATCCTCCCTAAATCTTGGTAAAAACTCAATGACTCAAAATTTTAATACAAGGACAACCAAGAAAATTTGTTGATCATACAAAACTGAATATATGGAAGTTTCTGAGCAAAGATGAGTATCACCTTGCTAGAGTCTCAGTAGTGTCTCAAAAGAGGGAGGTTACAAAAGGAAATAGGATTTTCAGGACTGGAGTTGTTCCTGGGTGGTTTTTAAAGTAAAAGTTTATAAGTAAGGTCTAGGCAAAAACTGGTCATATTTTGTGAACTAAATGAGTTGCTAAAACAATTCATCTTTTCTTTGTAGCACATGAGCCCATGTGATTTACTAT